AAATAAAATAAAATTTAAAAAAAAGAAAAGCAAGTAGTGAAAAGACAGACGCTGTCATTTCTATTAGAAGGCTTTACGCTCATAAATAGTAATTGAGTCTTTAAAAGGGTGCTAATGTATTTGTATTCTCTATTTTTTATGAACTGTATTATTTATGAAGAACTAGGTGTTTCTATGCTATTGGCAGGGATTGTTAGAAGGAGTGGAAATTTTGGTATTTCAAGCTCTGGTCTCTTCAGGCCCTGGACTGCACTGGGTCGGAAGTGACCAAATCCTTTGATCGTTAACATCTGAGCTTCTCAGAGGCTGAGAAACCCAAGCCTTGGGAAGATTTGATTTTGCTGATGATGCAAAACAAATGAATATAAATATTGGGTGAGACCTTCCACAAGCTGTTATTAGAAAGGAATGGAGAACTGTAGATTTTTTTTTCAAGGAGTACAACAGATGATGGAACTGATGCTGGGTGAAAGTCTTTGGAAGAGCAGAAATATAACTGTGTGGCAGTGACAGCCAGCAATGGATTTTACACATGGCTGGGTGAGAACAAAAGTTTTCTCTGTGTTAACAATACACAGCCAAATAGTGCTTTTTAACTTTGTATATATTTATTTTTAAAGTTTAAATACCTTTGCATGTCTTTCATTGAAAATGATAATCTTTTTTCTTTTTTATTATTGCATTCTTAGGAAATTTGCAGTGATCTGATGATGTCTTTCTTTCCAGATTATGAGCTCCAGTGTTTTAATGTGTTTGTATTTTAGATTCAAACAAGTCTTAAATTTTCCTTATTATCTCAATTTTAAATTCCTGCTTCTTTTTACAAGGTGAACGGATGTATTTTAAGTAAGCCTGCAGTTTTTTACATAACTGTATGATGTTTAGATTTGAAGATCAGTACCGACAGTTTTTTCCTCACACCTGTAAGACTGCCACACATATTGTTTTGGATTTAGTATGTTTAAGTATGGAACCTAGAAATGATGAAAATAAATGAACCTATAAAGTATTAAGAAATTTTGGAATTGCCTGGAATCACTGCCACAATGAAAAGACTTCCTATGAGATAGCCAGATGACCTTCAAATGCCTTGTCATTGGTTGTCTTTGTGAAGGAGAAAGACGGGCTAAACCCATCCTGACTGGAGTTCCGTCCTTTCCTGAGAAGAGGAGGGAGAATCCCATGGAACCCTAGAGACAGAATATATAACCTGTCCGAGAAGGGACACCTTCATGGGGAGAATGGGACGATAGAAAGATGAGAACAGTCACAGAGAAAACCAGGATGATAGGGATAATTCCAGGTGAAGCATCAAAGGTTGAGACCAATGAAGAGGTGGGAGAGTATGGAAAAAAAGAGCCTGGGGTGTCTAAGGTGGAGGTTCCAGTGAGGGAAGCAGATGGTCCATCAGAGGAAAAGAAGGATCCACCGGGTAAAGGAACCTTAGTTGCAAGAGAGAAAGAAATAAGACAAGAGGAGGGAAGAGAAATACAGTGGTGCCCCACATAACGAGTGCTTTGTTTAACAACGAATCCGCATAGCGATTGAGTTTTTGTGATCGCATTGCAATGTTTTAAATAGCAAAAAATCGCTTTGCGATGATCAGTAAGCTGTTTTGCTTACAGATTTTGGCATAGTGATGGTTTTTCTAACAGCTGATCGGCGGTTCCAGAATGACCACTGGGTAAAAAAAATGGCTGCCCACTGTGTTTTCACGCCCATACCTCGCTTACCGGGCAGCAAAAATGGCGGCTGTATGGAGGATTTTCGCATAACAGTGAGTTTTTTGCCCATAGGAATGCATTAAACATGTTTTAATGCATTCCTATAGCCTTTCTGTATAGCGACTGTGACGGCTGCGATGACGTCATCTGCCTATCATGGTTATGCTGGAACCCATCTGCCTATAGCAGAGCAGGAGGTGGGACTCCAGGAGGTGGAACTGTGTATATAAGGGAGGGGGAGTGAATGATGTGAGTTAAGAGTTATGGAGAGTTAGAGTTA